AGAGAGAGAGAGAGAGAGAGAGAGAGGTGTATGTGTCATTTGAAATGTGTTTGAGGCGATTAATGAAGATTAAAATAAAGGATGGATAGGACTTTTGGAGGGGTTAGAATGAAATGTGTAAATATCCTCGTGGTGATAAGAGGTGGAGAGTTCAAAGTTTGTTGGTCGTCAGAGAAAATTTCTTTTGAGATTTTGGCTAAGTCAATGGAATAAATGCTTCTATTTAATGTTCAAGATTAATTGTGACCATCAATAAATGGTCTTGTTGTATGCATTTCTTTTTCTTGAAGGGTTGGATCCGTGTTATTTGAATAGCGCCTAATACTTGGAGTGCCCAACAACTTTTTCGAGCGAGGAGGGGGAGTGGTCCAGTACTACGAGTACAGGATACGTACTAAAAAGAGAACAGAAGATACAAGTTCGACACTCAAGTAGACAACCAACAAAGACTGGTCGGACATTTAAAGGACATTTTGGACCAAGAAAAAAGGGATCCCAATTTAATTAGTAAATGAGGATTATTTGTAGTTCTGAAAATCCAATGATCATCGATTTATTCAGGAAATAGCATGCTTTTTGATGCAAAATATTTTACTAATGACTTCTACTTTTAATGTTATACATTCAAAGTTAAATTTAAGTACGTTCATGCATTGCACGAAGTTTCAATATATTATTCTGCTATTTTATCATTTTAATCACCTATTTTTTATTCCATCTTCACTAATATATGGTGTTAGAACAATTGATTATCTTAACCATCTTTGAATTTTTTTTTGTATAAACAGCAATTGCAACAAAAGTTTAAATTACGAATGATATTTGTTTAAAAAATAGTGCCAGCTTCAGAGTTGAAATAAGAGAACTGAAATATTAAAAGATTTGATGTGTGAGTCCGAAATTCCTCACGCACAAATGACAAAAAATAGGGAAACGATTTGAAATTCAAAATAGAAATAAATTTGTTTAATATATATTGGAAACAATGATCTCCAATGGAATTTGCTAAGAGGGCATCTATGAATTCTAAACTTGCTCATTGTTCTCCTAGAGTGATTTTGAGAAATTTTAGAAAAATAAGTCATTAAAATGAATTAAAAAACCATACTCCTACTTACCACTTAAAACAAAGAAAAAAGAAAAATCCCATAAAATGACTTCTTCAACTTCAGAATTCTGATCAACTAATTTCAATGAAATTAGTTTGAAGTAAAAAGTTAATAAAACTTCAGTAAAAAGAGAATTTCAATGAAATTAGCTCACCTAAGGGATAACTAGAGCTCTACTTGTTAAATGAAATTAGTTTGAAGTAAAAAGGCAGAATTTCAATGAATCCTCCAACTTCAGATGATTTTAGAATCCCATACAAATTTCGAGAATAAATATACCAGACACTTAGTAATCACAATAGCAAGAAATAGATCTCTACTAACCCCCAAAAAGAGAAATAGATCTTTGAGAAATATGAAAGCAACTTTTTCCAAATTCAGAGATTTTTACCAATACTTGCTAAGCCTTTCACTCATATATCTGATTGCTCAACTGGAGGCACCCAGATTTTGATTCATTTGGATATGATGGCTGAACTGCATGGAATCTGTACCCTAACCCAAGTGCTCAGTCCATGACTATCTAGCTAGTTCACATAAATTTATCAGCTGCCGACTGTTGATGCAAATGAGACCAAAATTAGTGTGAGGGAATGGCAGAGATTTCATCTTACAGAGTTCGACAACTCTTGTGGAAAGAGTAAATCTTATCATTACTGGAATGGGGGGGCAATTTCTCAGTTTTCGACAAGTAATAGTGTGGCAAAATATGGTGAAGAATGAGAAATCAAAGATTCAAAATGGAAGAAATCATCACACAAACTGCACAAGATCTCTCACTATTCCATAATCGAAGTCTGCAATTGACACGTGAAAAGGAGTAACCCATTGTCTTTCTTTGCAACTATTTAGCGGTTCTTAAAATCAACACAATTGGGTGAAGGATCACTGACATTACGTACACACGAGTCCTGGGGCTTTCTATACAAAGATCAAAAGAAATGGTTCTTCAAAACCAAGATCTGAACCCACACTCATCGAAGTGCCCCATAATCAAGGCCAAAGATCATGCTCCTTCCATTACCCAAATGTTGCTTTTCTTGAATTAAGAGCAACAACTACTCTTCTGAGCAACAGGTTCGCCCCTCATTTGCACAGTAGCTGGTTTACTGGCGTTCATGGCTGGCTGATTTGCCATCCTGTAAAGGAAAGAACGGAAAGATAGAGAAACAAATTTAGCTTCCAGATGTATCTATTCTTAAATAGTAGGAATCCTCTGATAAAACAGAGATAAGAGAGACATTTATGCAATATATCCATGCTGAAGATTCAAAAAAGAAAAAACAAGCCATCCCATGAAGGACATGAAAACAAGAAATATACAGTTAAGCATATACAGTTAAACAGTGACATCACAGCAACCATCCCTTGTTGACAAAGGACAGCTAGTGAGCAATTCCTCTGCTCAGAGCTTCCACTATGGCAGATAAATGTTCATCTCAACCGTCCATTGCGTTAATATGACATGCAGTCATATGTACATAAACAGCGCGCATCATCAAGTATGACCCCAACATATAGTGGTAGAGAGATGATTTAGCTTCCAAACAAATACAATGGTGAATTAGAACAAAAGTGAAAAGATGTCATTCTACAAAGAACAGAAACCAAAAAAGGTGACAGGTAATTGAGCTTCTAACCATACCGACAATGAACAAAAAGAGGAAGCATGAGCATATGAGACATTCATAGAATTATCTGAGATAATCCAGACTAGGAATGCATCAAAACTCTCACCATCTTGAGAATTGTCTAACCAGGTTACCTGATTTGCTGCCGCTGCTGACTTGAAACATTTGCTTAATGCCCAGAAATGAGTTCATCAAAAAAAGAGAACCGAGACATTACAGGTTTAAAAAATTTAACATTTTATCTACAACAATTTCACAGCAGGTTGGGTTGACTAGATAAACTTGCTATTCAGAACAAGTATTTCCTTTAAATGGTGGATCTCAAACTTGAAATAAAAGTTTAGTACCAGATCAACTTGTCAATTTTCCAGCTTCTGATGTATACCTATGAGATACATGTGTATTTTCGAAAAAGATAGGTATGCACTTTATGTTTTATAATAATTTGATATGTACTCAGTTCTACACAATAATCAGTAAATATCACGCATACTGCATACTAAATGTATCATGCATGCAAAGTTCTACCATTTACCTAGGTAGAATGTACTAAGTATGTTTCACTCAAGGGATAACATAATAAATTACTAATATTTGCCAATAGGATCTATGAACATTATTTATACATTTATATGCATAGTATGCACTACTACTGCATTGTTACACCTTACTTGGTCATATAATGGTTAATGTACTTCGCATTTTTCTTAGTTGTGTTCCAAGGAAAATAACACAAACCGGAAATTCCGTAAGTTAGACATTGACTCGATTTTATTCTAGTTCAACTTCAAAAATTGCTTTACGGTATTAATTAGTAAAGACAAAACTTCTCTTAAATCAAACCCATTTCAAGACCAAATCAATAAGGGGACATGCTGAGATTTCCAAAAATCCTTAAAATCTCACCTGTTCTTTATCTCAGCAGCCATGGTCATGAATGCCTGCTCCACATTGGTAGCATTCTTTGCGCTGGTCTCCAAGAAAGGAATTCCAATCTCATCTGCAAACGCCTTAATGATGGTATAACATGTGTCAGAAATTGATACATAACATAGATGCATGTTCCTTCCCCTCCCTCCCTCCAGAAATTGATACATATGTGCATGTTCCGTCCCTCCCTTCCCTCCCTCCCTCCCTCCCTCCTCTCTCTCTCTCTCTCTCTCTCTCTCCATCTGCCCCCAAAACACACAGAAAATACACACAAGCACAGATGTACATACACATGCACGTACATCACACGCACAGAGAGACGATGTAGACTGGAATCCTATTCCTTGGAAAAGGTTTCCAATGTAAACAAGAAAACAAAAACAGGATGAGGAGGAAACAAGGAAAACAAATCCAGTAGGCATGTCACCTTGGCCGTTTCATATGAAACCACTTTGTTAGCAGTCAAATCGGACTTATTCCCCACCAAAAGTTTGTTTACATTCTCACTTGCATAGCGATCAATCTCATTTAGCCACTGCTTCACATTGTTGAAGCTCTCTTGGTCAGTGACATCATACACAACCTGCCAAAACAACCCAAATCAGTTACATTAGTCATGCTCATCTCACAGAACTGGACGTATGCAAACATAAATACTCAATCCTTACAATAATGCCATGAGCTCCACGGTAGTAACTGCTAGTAATAGTCCGGAAACGTTCTTGTCCAGCTGTATCCCACTAAGAAGAAACAAATGAAGGGTGCGATAAAGAGAAAATCAAAATGTGTCTCAAAAGAGAACTTAATTGGTACAAGTCTAACTCACGATTTGAAGTTTAATGGTCTTTCCATCCTGCTCCACTGTGCGAATTTTCTAATAAAAATGACAAAATTGCAGTCATGGTACCATAATATTCATAAAAGGAAACAAACATAAATTGAAAGGCCACTCTGCAAATTATTGAAAATGATACTTACGAAATCAACACCAATTGTACTGATGTAACTCTCTAAATATGAATCATCCTACATCAATAGAGAAACACAAGGAGCTCAAAGTCAACCAAATAACGACTGTGATAACAAGACATGTTCCTCAAATAAAAAGGACAAAGAGGAACTCAAATCATGAGCAACAGAAAAATGATGAAAGGGTATGACCTAGTTTTATGCATTGTATGTGCACTTCAACACAATAATCAGATTTTATACTCAAATCCGAACTGACTACAAAGGGTTGACATTCTTCTTGCATGACTATAAAGGCCTGAAATTCATAAACATTATTACATCAAAATAACCAAAAAGAATGGGTGCATTATGAGCCCTTAATATTTGATTTTCATCAATGACCCAAAAAGTCCCAGTCCAAACAGGACTAGCAACAGAGCGTGCGAAAATTTAGCATCAGATTCAAGAAAATCTCAGTTCTAGTATCCAATCAGAAGCCATTATTATTTTTTTAGTCAATCTTGAGCATGCCAATGCTGTTATGTATCAGAGATGTAAGAAGAACATCATGAAACCATAACAAACCATGTTGGTAGCATGATAAGATGAGTTGGTCTCATGGCAGTAGAAGTTGGAGATTGACAATAGACCTTATAGAGATGCTGCCATGCTTCCTAAAGAGCAAACAAGAGCTGCTGGGTACACTATAGCTCAGGCAAGTTCATGTTTTCATTCCTATTGACTTTGCTAAATGATGGAAAGTTCTACCATCTTGTTTCCTTATTCAGTTCCATGCTATTCTTATAGACGTGAAAAGAATTGGACAATTGTCCTCAGCCACAGAGCACTGCATTGCCTGTTGGAATAAACTTCCAATGTGAAAACGAATACCTTACTCCATTCCAGCTCCTTCTGAAGAACACGATCAAGTTAGGAAGATTTAGACTGAATATGCTGACATTAAACCGGTAAAAATGCCATTTTAGTGCTAAGGAGCTGCTTGAGAAGGTGGGTTCAGATATTCGGGCTACCTCCTCATAAAAGCATTTTTCAAACATATCAGTTCTAGTTGCTCTGCACTAGCATGCTATAGGTCTTATGCATCTGAAAAAGCATGAAGCATATGACTCATGAAAAAGCATGCCCATATAAAGATATGCATGAAGAATAATATGTATAATGAGGGAGAAGGAGAAAATAGGAGCTAATTTTTATAGAGATGCTGACGCTTATTAAAGAGGGAACGGGAGCTTTTTCGGGGTGAATGGTATGTCTTTGTTCATGACGACATTGCCCAACAAAAAAGAAAGGTTCAATGCCTTAATACCCTTGGCCATTTCTATTGTTGGAGTCACTGCAATAAGGGTCACTTCTTCGACTGTCAATGCAACAACCATCGTATTTCTCATACAAAGCCTGCCTTCCAACTCATATAAAAACAACCATTTCAATGTTGTGAAATGCATTTTTCACTATTTTACAAAATGATACATTTCTCAGCATGTACTGAATTGAGCTCACACAACCAACCCACTCCAAAAACTTTCAGAATGTAACTTTGGAATCTGAACCCCCCTGGGACACCATAATGCACCAGTCTCAGAATGCAACGACAATAAAATTGTCCTCCTTCGAGATGCATGAACTCAATGGCAACATATTAAACCCATGGACATAGGTTAATAAAGAGAAGAACCAGAAAGTCATTTTAAAGCATTGCATAATGAACAAATGAGCTATCATATGGCCAAGACTCTTCAGCAGCCATACTGTACAAGGTAGCAAAAATCAATAGTTAAGATGAAGCACCCCAATAAATTGCTTCAATTACTCATAGGCACATTTCTTGATGCATTTTAATTTGGAGCCACGAAATAGGGTGGCTAAAAGATGAACATCAATTCCTGTCAAAAACACAAAACTTGTCTAAGCAATGTTACCATCCCATGCCAAGCCAACACCCAAAAGTTGGATCGTTCTCTATCCAAAATATGCCAAAGAGTACCTTGACTAGGAGATTATGTTTTCATATGGTCAAGGTCACCCAAATATGATCTACTGATCGACACACCAACCACAATGGAGAAAAAAAACTATTGACATTCCAAGTATAATGGAGAAATGACCTCAAATTTTTTTTTTGGATAAGTTAGAAGGTATAAGATATTTTAGAATCTCATCTTATCCCAATTATTTGAAGTCAGCTACATGAATCCTATTCCGCCATTCTACTCTATCGAGGGCCATACCCTCAGTAAGACCAAAAACCCCCATATCTTTTCTCACTACTTCCATCCATGTCCTTTTGGGCTTTTCCCTTGCCCTTTTAGAGCCTTCCACTTGAACCAAATCACGTCTCCTTACTAGTGTTGTATTGGGTCTACACTGCACATGGCCCGCTCACCTAAGTCTACTTTCTCTCATCTTATCGTCTATTGAAGAATAAGATATTATAAAATCTATTAAATCAAAATTTCAAAATGACAAGACATTACACATTTTCAGAAACCCTGCCAGAACAATCAAATCTAATTTCTCTAAGTATATTCCACTTGAATTTTTCTGTAATCTACTCTTTGAAGACAAATCCAAGGCTGATATCAGCTAACATACCAGAATAAAGATGGAGAAAGACAGAGAACGACAAAACATAATCACCCTGACAAAATCATAAAAGGCAGTACATTTTGGCTACATAACCCTTCAAAAGGTATATGAAAAGGTCTCGATTCCATACCGCAAACCTCAGCAAAAGGCATGACTTGCCAACACCGGAATCTCCAATAAGCAAAAGCTTGAAAAGATAGTCACTGCAACAAGAAAGATAAATTATCCCATACTCATAAAATATCCAATTTTAAACAATATTCCTCACTTATGTAACTCTTAAGTCATTTGACCACAATATAAACTACAGAAAATGGCCACTTAGAGCCTCTGAAAACCACACAGCAGGATGTTGCTGCACAGCATGACATATTAAGTTCAGATATTTCAAACATTAAAATCACAAAACCACACACTAAGGCCTATTTAACAAAGCCAGAGGGTTATTTTGGATAACTATTACATTGATTAAATTGAAGCATGTGATATGAGATTTATGAAACATGAATTCCACGCCTCTATAAAGCCATTGGTAGCAAAAGTTTAAATACACACATTTAAGGTACAAATTCACAGAGGGAATGAATTTAAAAGCACCTAGCAAGGGGACATCAAGCTGACATCTCTCTAAAATGACTATGGAAGAAGGCATGTCTATGCTTCTGCATAAACCCAGCCTAATCATTGTTACTTTGTTGAAACCCACTCTACAAATTGCATGACTATCCACATATTTAGATGGTTTATTCATCCCCTGCTTAGTATAGGAGAAAATGAACATAAATACAAATTTACAAACCAAGAGAATTATGCCCCTATACTCAGGCACAGAAGCAGGCGTATGTTCAAATGTTTGACCCCCAAATGTGCATGATCATCTGAGCAGGAGTGCACATGGTTCTCAAAAGAAAGGAAATACAAGACCAATTCTTCCAACATTAAGTATTGGACGATCTTCCTAGTTTACAAAAGAACCCCAAAAGACCTAATTCTAATAGGATTAATCAGTGTTTAAAAGAAGGGATGGGTGGAGCAGATCGCAAACCTCCAATCCCAATCCACATCGGCTGGATAGACAAACTGAATCATTCTTGGATCATCGCTGAGCTGGTATTTAAAAAATATATATATTAATGTAATATACTATAACTTGTCGTTTTCAAATCACCTAGCGTGCATTGGTTTTTTTGGAGCACTTTGTGACTAGTGATCAAATCCTGTGATTCTCTTTTTCCAATCCACCGATGTCCCACCAAATACTCTTCCCAGCTATCGCATGGAACTTTCACATGACTTGTAATAGAAATTACCCATTATATCTATATATTATATAAATCACAGATTCCTACAAAGAACCGGATTGTCTACGGATAATTCCTAATAGTTTTCAAAAAATTGGGATCAATAATTAACAAATGGTGTTACCATTTTACATATCTGCATGCATGAAATACATGAATTGCAAGAACCAATGGTTTTCACCTACCCATTAATAAAAAATAATATTCCTGCCTCAAAAGCAAGCCAGGTAAAAAGTGGGCATGGCAAACCTCGATTTTGTACAAAAATAGGTTGTATACACAGAGCTAAATTGACTTTTTATAAGCATGAGCAATACAGTTTAAAAGCAATGCCTCATGCTATTATATGATGCACAATGGAGTTTAGGACATGCTATTATACGATGCACATTGGAGAGTATGATTATTTAAAGTGGGGTATTCTGTCATAAACAAGCACTTTCCTTCTAGTTTTTCTAATTGATGATTAAAAGAAATAGTATACTACCCACCATAATAAGTGGAGATGTGAGGATGAGAACTTATTGCAAAAGCAAAAAAATAACACAAACCTCTCCAAGATAAAACCAAAGTCATCCTAACCTTCAATTTTCTAAAAGTGAGGCCAATAAATGATTGCATCCTAAGAACATGGATGTGCAAGTATCTGAAAAAAAAAGAAAGAAAGTACAAATCCCACTACTGCATATAAAAAACTTTGGCCTCTAAGGGGAGATACATCTCATGTAACCATTGGTGAATGTTTAATCTTTAGAACACCTCCCATCATTAATGGATGGGAAAATAAGTTAAATCCATACTACTGAAATGCAACATAAGAAACACCTCTATGAATTCCTTCGGAATACAAAACCACCTTTCTCTTTCCCTCAAACCATACCAATGCCCCTACAAACAGCAGAGTGCAAACTGCAGATGATAATCCACAAAAGTTCAGAAGCCCCAGGAAAGGACCACTGCTCCTGGGCTCAAATCAACATCCTAAAAGCTCTGATTGCTGCAAATCAATCACAATAAAACTCCTAAAATGGGATCCATAACAAGCACAAGCCAAAATTGTTACAATCGTAAAGATTGCAACCAAATAACGAATAATGATTTGTATGTAACAATAAAAAGCAAAGCCAGGAAAAGGAATACTCATCATTCATCAACAAATCCAAAACAAATGTTTCAACATACAAGCAACAAAGACCAAAGTGGCCTACAGTCACAATGAATAAAGTTCTGTAACATCCAAATCCAAATCCAAATCCAAACCATAGTTGTAGGGATAGGGAGCATGATCAGGAACATGACCAGGATCGAGAGCTTGGGATCGTGAAAGGCTAGAATATCTCTATGGTTGGGAACACTGTCAGTACAAAGCATATGTTAGAGATCAAGATCCCCATATATTAAGGATCGCAATCCTGACCTTTTGACAATCTTGCTCCTCACCTTGAAGAATATCTATAATCTAGGATTACAAATACTCTTTAAAGGAGATATTTCTTTACTTATAGCCAGCAAGCAGTGTAATTATATTAAAAGTGTAGTTGTATTGCTAGCTGGTTATAAATAAAGAAAATCATCAGTTTGGTCATTATCTAGTCTTTAAGGTGGGGATCGAGATTGCTAACGGGGGGATCAAGATTCCAAATTTTGAAAATGGAGATCTCTGTAAGATCCCTTCCTGGAGCACTAGATCAAGATTCCAAAGCAAGATTGCCACCTAGTTTGTGAGATCCCAACAACTATGATCCAAACAAAATTTATGAGAAATGATCACTTCAAACAAAGGAAATAGATCACTTCATGAAAGATGTGTTGCCCAACAGTTCCTAAAGTAAATGAAATCTCTCTCATCGGTCTTTCAACAAAAAATGCATTGCGTAATACACTGGTTCTGGCTTCAAGCAAAAGATATACATGTAATTGCTGATCAAATAATCCTACGGAACTACAATTATGGAAAAGAGACATGTGCAGCCATAAGAGCTGCACTCATTGGGTTTTTTTTTTCTTTTTGATAATCAATGAAATTTCATTAATATGTTTTCCTAACGTTCTCTCATTTTTTTATTTTAGGGAACTGAAACAAAAAGGCTAGCTCAGCTTGTTTGGTGTTTTAGGGACAAACTTGAAGGGTTCAAACATTTGACCTCCCTCACCCAAACTGGGATGTATACGAAAGCCTAGCAGACACTAAATAGATGGAAAGTTTGTTGTGTCCCAGAAAAATTAAAATGCAAAATCAACTAAATGAATACCAGTCAATGATCCTCCAAACAAAGTTTCACATATGCCAGTTGTCCAACTACCATAAACTCATATAATTCCAAACCTGGCCAAAACCAGATAGACATTCAAAACTTCAAATCCACACACACACAAACACAGAGAGATAGAGAGAGAGAGAGAGAGAGAGAGAGATGACAAATGTTGCATGCAATACGGTAAAGCAATTAAAACAAACTAAATAAAATCACAAATTCGAGGGTGTTGTCGTGTGTGTGTGGCGGGGTGGGGGGGGGGGGGTGGGGGGGGGGGGGGGGGGTGGAGGGGGTGGTGAGTGT